ACACACACACACACACACACACACACACACACACACACACACACACATACTTACACACATACTAAGTGATGATGATGATAAATTTTATTGTGAAATATTGTAGGTGAAGTCAAAATAACTTACTTGCTCACAGTTAGATGTGAGAGGTAAGGAGTACAGTGGATAGTGCATACAGGTTTAGGCAAATGAGTAAATGGAAGGGCCAGATAGAGATCTGAAGCCCAGGTAAAAAGCTTAAAGTCAAGAAATTAAGCTTTGACAATAACCACATAAAGCAATGACTAATTGAACCTTTTGGTTGAGTGAGATCTCCAAAGGCAACAGTGTAAAAGAAACATCATGCTAAAGGACAGATAGGGAGGTTGTCAGCCAAGTTTGCTGCACAGGACATTTTTACTTGTGCATTTGTAGCAAGTTTTTAACCCTTCTGAATCTGTTTACTTATGTTTAAAGTAGGCACAATAAGATTACCTCCACCCTTCCTTTATTCAAGAGATAACTCCTAAAGATAATGTAAAATTTGTGATGAATTTCCTTGTGAGAATTCAAGTTCTTTTGCTTCATTTCTACTGCTATTCTTCAGCAGTATTGACTCTAAGAGTTTGTTAAGAGCATAGATTGGTCCAGGCATGGTGGCTCATGTCTTTAATGTCAGCACTCAGGAGGCAGAGTCAGGCAGTTCTTGGTGAGTTCAAGGCCAGCCTCATCTACAAAATGAGTTCCAGGACAACCAAAAGTCTGTTATACAGGAAAACCCTGTCTTAAAACACACACAAACACACACACACACACACACACACACACACACACAAACATAGATTGTGCTGCTGATGGTTCACTCTTCTTCACAGCTTTTATTTGCTAATGACTCCGGTTTCTGCTATAACATTAATGATATTTTGTCATGAAAATATTTCCTAAAAGTTTGGAAGTATAACATATAAAAGAAAACAATTTTAAAGCCAGGTACACACCTGTAATCCCAACACTCTGGAAGGAGAAACAGACAGATCTCTGTAAATCCAAGCCCAGCCTGGCCTACAAAGTGAGTCCAGGGCAGCCATGGCTACACAAAGAAACCCTGTCTTGAAAAACTTTTTAAAAAATGTTGTCATCAGATTGGCTTGTAGGTAAGTCTATGGCGTCATTTTCTTGATCATCAATAGATGTAGGAGGGTCTAACTCAGTGTCGGTGGTGCCATGGATGGGCATGTGGTCCTGAGGTGTATAAGAAAGTAAGCTGAGCAAACCATAGAGAGCAAACCATTAAGAAGCACTCCTACATGGCTTCTGCTCCAGTTCCTACCTACTGGGTCCAGCCCAGACTTCCCTTGCTGATGGACTGTGACCTGAGGACTGTATGATGAAATAACCCTTTCCTCCCCAAGTTACCTTTTTGGTCATGGTATTTTATCATTGCAATAGAAACCTTAACTAAGACAGCACTTCTGGTCTACTTCTAATCATAATTACTTCTTTTTAAAGATTGTTTTATTTATGTGTATGTGTGTAGGTATGTGCCTGTGTGAGGACAGAGACCAGAAGAGGATGTTGGATCTGCTGTAACTAGAGTCACAGGTGAGCTGTCCCAAATGTTGCCTAGAAACCCAACTCTGCTCCTCTAAAAGAGCAAGAATCTCTCTTAACCCTGAAGCTGTCTCTCTAGCTCTTATAATTACTTCTTAAAGCAACATCTGTCCTTAAAAATATAACAGCAGGCAATGAAACGTAATATCTTAGATTGTTTCTAGTTCAAACTATAAACATGTATATTTTCATATTTTAGGCAGCTTAATTTAAAATACATATACAGTAACAGACATCTGATTCAGCATTATTAATTAAATGGAAAAACCCAATTAAAATAATTACTCATATGGGGCACACATAAATAGTCACATTTACTTAACGGCAACAATTCAGTATCTGGTAATCAGTGACAGGCTGTGAAGATCCCTTTATCTGAAATATGGAAGAGAAGAAACATCCCGCTACTTTGTACACTTGAATAGCTACACTGATAAGCACTACAATCTTGAAAGACATTTTTAGCAAACCAAAAAGCTTATCACATTTGCCCTTTAAAATGCCAAACACAAGTCAATAATTTCTGCTTGCAGCTGTCCTCAGATCCTTTTTGCCCTAGTAGCTGACAGTGGGTGTCCTCACCAATTCTGTAAGGCTGCCTGTAGAGTAAGAACTTCTCCAGGAGAAGGACTTGTTTCATCTCTCTCTGGCATAGTACTCCATCACAGATGTGTGTGGAACTGACTCATTCCTTAGATGTGGATGTGTTCCATAGCCAGAAGTGTCCATGTTATGTTAATATCAAGTACTATTACCATTTTTTATTGCTGTCTTTTTTCTGGGTAGAATTCTGAAAATAAAGTATCAGCAGTAATATTACTTTACTAGGTTGATCTTCTCTGAAAGCTACCTACTATGTTCTTAGCTGTTTATTGTTTAAGCATATGTTTTCCAAAATTTTTTAACCATTGAATGTAACTTCAATTCTTAAAATGTAACTTCCAGAGCTTGCAATCCTGGCATTTGACAATACTAACTTTTACTTCTGTATTATTCAGGATGAAGAAGAATTGACACCAACATTTAGAACTCTTTGGGAATTGGACCTGAAGCCTCATTTGTGCAAGGTAAACTCTCTACCAGAGCTATAGTCTCTGCCTCATACAGTTTTTTTTTTCCTGCTTCAGCACTAACACTTGCTTTTCATGTATGATTACATTATTTCAAATACTTTCTGTAGTAATCATAATATCAAAACGACCACCAAGATCATTCCCAGAAGTCACAAGGTACACAAGTCACAGGATAGGGACAAAGTACAAAGGTATCTGTGTTTACCCGCCTAAGTGGAGTGACTACATGCAATAGTCTGTTTGAGATTTAAGTTCTTGGATATTTTCTTTTGCTTATTTCTTTTTCTTGTTTTTTTTTTTTTGTTGTTTTGTTTTGTTTTTGTTTTTGTTTTTGAGATAGAGTTTTTCTGTGAGGCCCAGGCCTCACTCTGTAGACCAGGCTGGCCTCAAACCCAGAGATCAGCTTGTCTCTGCCTCCAGAAGTGCCAGGATTAAAGCCATGCTCTACTTTTTTTACAGTTTTCAGTTGAGGAGGATTATATTATTTCAAATTTCGTGCCTAAAAATTCATATGCTGCTGTGTGAATTTTCATAAATGAAATTTACATATAGGACAACTTAGCTGTTGTGCCATGGTAACTTTATCACAAGATATCTTTGCCAACTGGTGCCTGGGTTAACATTCACCACATGTTAAACATTCACAAAGGTCATTTCACTTCTTTTTCTCAAGCATTGCAGAATTGGTAGTTGCTTGGATAGGAGAGGCGGTTTGAGGAGTTGTTGTGTGTGAAAATATCTGAGGACATCTATGAGTTCTTCATTTGAAATTACCCAAATATCTACTGCACTCTCTCTTTAATTAAGAACAATATTTGTATATTCTTCATTCTATATTCCCATCTAGTGGCTACAGAGACAACTGCCTGCAATTGAGTTTTTCTCTCGATCATAATTTTTAAAACCTGGAAAAAATGAGAAAGATATCATAACCGAGATAAAAAAATCACAGATAATTTCACTGAGACTAATAGTTTCTACACAGTTTCTATGGACTTTTTACATCAGAGAATTGAACTCAGCAGTTATAAACTGTTTTAATGGAGCTTTGCTTTCATATTATATTTGAAGTCATTCTCCCTGTCATTAATAGCTTTGCAAACATAATATTAAGGACTTTGTTAGACTGATTGTTCTTAAAACTTCAACACAAACACTATATCATTTTATTTTGCATCTCTTTGCCCATATTTATCCTATTCCTTAAATTCAATTTCTAGAATAAGAATAACTGTCAAAATATGTTTGCTTAAAAAGGAGTAAGGACAGCCAGGTGGTGGTGACGCATGCCTTTAATACCAGCACTAAGGAAGCTGAGGCAGGCAGGTCTCTGTGAGTTCAAGGCTAGCTTGGTTTACAGAGTGAGTTCCAGAGCAGCCAGGGATACACAATGAAACCCTGTCTTAACAAACCAACCAACAAACAAAGAATAAATAAATAAACAAATAAATAAATATATAGATAGATAAAAATAATCTTTGTCTCTATATAAACGATCTCTGTAGTAAATTTAAAAAGAAGTAAGGGCTATGTGTGGTGACAATCCCCATAGTCAGGAAGATTACACAGAAAGTGTTATGAGAAAAGGAAAAAAAAAAAAAAAGGAAGATGGTTCAACAGGTAAAGGTGTTTGTTGCCAAACCTAAGTTCAGTCCTTGGAACCCACATGGTAGGAGAGCTCCAACTCCTGCAAGTTGTCCTCTGACTTCCACACAAGTGCTGTAGTATATGTGCACTTGCACATACATGCATACATATCCACACAAGAGAAAAAAATTAATAATTAAAAAGTAATTAACTAGTTAATTAACTCACAATGGGTAGGAGCTGCCCACTGCAGCGTCCTAGACAGGGAAAGTAGCTACCATGTCAGGGTAAAGATGGTAGTACAAGCCCCACAGCTCCAGCTCATCTCTAGACTGGGGAAGCCCAGTATGTCTCTGGATCCTCTGAGGATTCTCATTGCAGAAGTAGGACATTTTCTTGACATTAGATGCTTTTGGATTCATCTGGATTAAAATTCTGAACTCAGGGCTTGTGTGTGTGTGGATTTGTGTTATAGCTTGTGTCAGTGGTCCTGCTTCTCGTAGGCAGCCACTTTGTTGAAATGTTGAGTGTCTTTCTACACATTACCTTCATGTCTTGGAATGGAAAAACCAGTTATCCCTTTGCTCTACCTCTCACACTCAATACTGAGTAGCTATTAGGATGCCACTCTCAAGCTTACTTTTCCTGGATGAAAACAACAGTGGACATGGGTCTTCTGTAATAAAAAACTCAGTATGCAAACAGAAGTTGATGTTTAATGTAAAATAGGTGCTTCAGTGTGTATTTGTGATTTTTTTTCCTTTTGTTCCAAATTAGAAGACTAAATAATACAAACACTGTGAGGCTTTCAGATTTTTATAAAAGGTTTTCTAAGATTGGTGAGTTGGATCATTGGGTAAAGGTTTTTGCCACCAAGTCCAAAAATCTGAGTTTCATCTCTGGAACCTATGTAGTAGAAGGAGAGAGCTGACTCTGGAAAGCTGTCCTATATTGGGGGTGGAAGGTTCAAGACAGGGTTTCTCTGTGTAGCCTTGGCTGTCCTGGACTCACTTTGTAGGCCTCGAACTCATAGAGAAACATGTGCCTCTGCTGGGGTTACAGCCATGAGCCACTACATCCAGCTGTCTCCTACAGTTTAAGTATTTTTTAGAAGGTCTTATAATTTGCATCCTTATTATGCTAGTGTAGTTCAGACTGAAATAGTAAATTGTAAGTATTTGTTTCCATTTAAAGTGAAAGAGATGTCAAAATTTGTATAGATTCCAGGACAGCTAAGACTACAGAGAGAGAACCTGTCTCAAAAAAAAAAGTGTACAGACATCTAAATTTTCGTTCAGACTGCAACATAGATTTATTTACTGAACAAGAACAAAGATCCAAATTTGCAGTTAAATCATTGATATATGCATTTTTTATATTTTATTTTTAAGTAATTTTATACATTCACTTGTATCCCAGCTGTAGCCCACTCCCTCTTTCCCTGCCAATCTCCTCCCTCATCTCCTCCCTGCCCCTTTCTGAGTCCACTGAGAGGGGGTGTCCTCCTCTCCTTCCATCTGGCCCTAGCTTATCAGGTATCTTCAGGACTGGCTGCAATGTCCTTCTCTGTGACCTAGCAAGGCTGTTCCTCCCTCAGGGGGAGGGGAAGCTCATGAGTTCATGTCAGAAACAATTCCTGTCTCCCTTACTAGGGAACCCACTTGGATACTGAGCTACCATGGGCTATATCCATGCATGGTCCTTGGTTGGATAAACAGTCTCATAGAAGACCCCTGTGCTCAGATATATTTGGACCTTGTGGGGCTCCCTGTCTCCTCTAGGATATACTAATTTCTCCTTCCTTCATATAATTCCTTACACTCTGCCAAAAGCTTGGTTATGGGTCTCAGCATCTGCTTTGATACACTGCTAGGTAGAGTCTTTCAGGTGCTTTCTATGATAGGCTACTTTCCTGTTACTTGTTTTCTTCTATTTCCAATGTCCATCCCCTTTGTCTTTCTAGATAAGGATTGATCATCTTATCCCTGGACCTCTTTCTTATTTATCTTCTTTAGGTGTACATATTTTAGTATGTTTATCCTATCTTATAGGTCTACATAAGTGAGTATATACCATGTGTGTCCTGCTTTTGGGATACCTCACTCAGGATGATTTTTTTCTAGATCCCACCATTTACCTGCAAAATTCATAATTTCCTTGTTTTTAATTGCTGAGTAGTATTCCATTGTGTAAAAGAACCACAATTTCTGTATCCGTTCCTCCGTTGATGGACATCTGGGTTGTTTTCAGGTTCTGGTTATTACAAATAAGGCTGCTACAAACATGGTTGAACAATGTCCTTGTTGTGTACTTGAACATCTTTTGGATATTTTCCTAGGAGTGGTATAGCTGGATCTTGAGGAAACGCTATTCCTAATTGTCTGAGATAGTGCCAGATTGATTTCCCTAGTGGTTGTACCAGTTGACATTCCCACCAGCAATGGAGGAGGGTTCCCCTTTCTCCACAGCCTCTCCAGCATGCGTTATCTTTTGAGATTTTGACCTTAGGCATTCTGATGGGTGTAAGGTGAAATCTCAGGCTCATTTTGATTTGTATCTGTCTGATGGCTAGGGATGTTGAACATCTCCTTATGTGTTTCTCTGCCATTCTATATTCTTCTACAGAGAATTCTCTGTTTAGCTCCATACCCCATTTTTTTTTTAATTGGGTTACTTGGATTATTGCCTTTTAACTTCTTTAGTTCTTTATATATTCCAGATATCAGCCCTCTGTCAGATGTTGGGTTGGTGAAGATCCTTTCCCAATCTGTAGGCTGTCTTTTTTTTTTTTTTTCTAAAGACAGCGTCTTTTGCTTTACAGAAGCTTTTCAGTTTCATGAGATCCCATTTATTGATTGTTGCTCTTAGGGCCTGTGCTGATGGTGTTCTGTTCAGAAAGTTGTCTCCTGTGCCAATGAGTTCTAGGCCGTTCCCCACTTTTTCTACTAACCGATTTAGATTATCTGGTTTTATGTTGAGGTCTTTAATCCTCTTGGACTTTAGTTTTGTACAGGATGATAAATATGGATCTAGTTTCATTTTTTTTGCATGTAGACATCCAGTTGGCCAGCACCATTTGTTGAAGATGCTGTCTTTTTTCCATTGAATGGTTTTGGCTTGTTTGTCAAAAATCAAGTATTCATGGGTGTGTGGGTTTATTTCTGGGTCTTCTATGCGGTTCCATTGATCCACCTTTCTGTTTCTATGCCAGTACCAAGCAGTTTTTATTATTATTGCTCTGTAGTACAACTTGCGATCAGGGATGGAGATACCTCCAGAGGATCTGTTCTTGTACAGGATTGTTTTGGAAATTCTGGGTTTTTTGTTTCTCCATATGAAGTTGATAATTTTTCCTACAAGTTCTGTAAAGAATTGTGTTGGTATTTTGATGGGAATTGCATTGAATC